TGTTATAGCAAATTAAGATCAAGCCGCCGGTTAGGCTTTTTTGGTTCCTTAAAAACACATTTTCAACTCCTTCTCATTAACAGAAGCAAAATCATTGAACAACTGAGAAATTTTGCGGAGAGAGACTTCCAATTTTGGATGATTGCGTATTGCTAAAGCTTTCTGTTTATAACATTCTTGAAGTTGGGAAAAAGCTTTACGAACTTATCCAATAACCAAATCAAATACGAAATTGAGGTAATCTTGATAAAAGATTATATTTGAACTGTATATTAACCTTTTACATGTGCATAAACAAATGCCTGAGAATACTTCAAAATTTGAAGCATTTCTCTCCAAACTTCCTATATAATGTCTTCAAGCGACTGAAAGCCACTACAAAAGAACGGCATCTAAGAACCTTCAAGTGTGGTTTTGTCTTTACCATTCAATCTCTAGATGTAAAAATTGTACAGTAGAATTCATACAAACCAGCTAATTCCGCATCCTTCTTGAATGTTAGCTCTAAAACCCACTTGAAGTGCAGAAGTTGACAAGGCATTTTTTTACTCAATGTTCTGTATGTTACTCCTTACAAATTATATATCCCCAGTTTTTGTCGATGCTTTGGAACATCTCTGAAGGAACGCCAACAACAAAGTATTTATTGGCCTTTCTGTTCAAAGAAGAATATAGAGGGGTATAAAGACGTGCTTGATTAAAACGCCACGTAATAATTTTGACGCAACGTCACTGCTGATTCAAGGATAGCTCCACAAAAGAAATGTGATTGCACCTAAAAATTCCATATTATATTTGCAGAGATATTTGTGATGTTAATGAAAGTATGAATCATTTTTGTTTTCGCTAGCTCGTACAAAATTGATACAAAAAAGATTCGTACTAGGTCAGTGACATCAAAGTTTTAACCGATGATATACTTAGGTCGAATGAGTCATAAAAAAATGGTACATACATAAAGGAATACCAAACGCACCGAATATAAGGCCGCTGCTGAGCACAATCGCGGTAGGATCTGTTTTGTAGTCTTTTCTTTTCGGTGACGGATCTTATCAACACTTTTTGATTTTAGAAACACTTTATCATCTTTTAAAAGTCATTGCCTTTTCAGATGAAC